TAGGCTCGAAACGTCAGCTTTCCTGCTCCTATGATGCTGCTTGGCCTGCTGTGTTCATCCAGCTCTACACCTTGTTATCTTATAATCAATTCTCCATTGGATTTTGATATTCTGTGGTGGTGTAATAAAAGGAATACTGGATAAATCCAATATTTGTTTTTGAAGGCAAAAGTATAGGAAAGAATTTATCAAAATCCTAGAGTCTGTTATAAAAGATTTAATAGCAGAGCACTTGAAAAACAGTGACAGGCTTAGACAGAGTCAGCATGTATTTATGAATGGGAAATCATGTTTGTTGCATCTAGAATACTTTGATGATGTAACTTATAAAGTTGATAAGGGGAGCCAGTAGATGCATAATACTTTGACCAACAGAAGCTTTTCAATCAAGTTCCACGTAAGAGATTAGTATGCGGTATTATAGTATATTGATATACGTAGAGAACAAATGGGCAGACAGGAAACAAAGAGTAGGAATAAATGGATCATTTCTGAGTGGCAACTAGTGACTAGTGGATTACCACAGGGATCGGTGCTTGTACTCCAGCAATTCACAATCTATATTAATGATTTAGGTGAACGAACTAAATACATTTTCTCCAAGTTTTCACATGATACAAAGCTGGACGGGAGGATGAACTGTGAGGAGGATGCAGAGATGCTTCAATTTTATTTTTCATGAGATTTAGGCAAATTGAGTGAGTGGGCAAATGCATGGCAGGTGCAGTATAACGTAGATAAATGTGAAATTACCCACTTTGGTAGCAAAAACAGGAAGTCATTATTATCTGAAAGGCAATACATTAGGAAAGGAGGAGGTGCATCAAGACTTGCTTGTCTTTATACACCAGTCACTGAAATTGAGTTTGCAGGTGCAGCAGGTGGTAAAGAAGGAAATGGCATGTTGGCCTGCGTAGCAAGAGGATTTGAGTACGGGAGCAGGGATGTCTTGCTTCAATTATATAGGACCTAGAGTATTGTGTGTAGTTTTTATCTGCTCATCTGAAGAATGATGGTCAGGCAAGGGAGGGAGTTTACCAGACTTATTCCTGGAATGACATGAATTGCTTATGAAGAGAGATTGGATCAGTTAGGACTCCATTGCTGGAGTTTAGCAGAATAAAGGTTTTTGTAGAAAACTATAAACTTCTATAAAGTTCTATTTGATTTTATTTGATTGATTTATTTTCACGTGTGCCTAAGAACAGTGAAAAACTTTGTTCACGAGAAGTATAGGCAGGTCATAGTAAGCAAGGACATATGGCTCATAGGGTGGAAGAAGAACTAGACAGAGCATACAAGTTGCATTGCACAGAGCGTGCACCAGGCAAGATCAATATTAGCAAGGTCAACATTATTTGAAATTAGAGGGTCCATTCATCGGGAAGAAGGGAAGAAGCTGTTCTTGAACAATCTGTTGTGTGCGTTCAAGCTTCTGCATCTACTACCTGGTGGAAGTGGTTGTAGGAGAGCATTGCTGGGGTGCAATGGGTCTTTGATGATGTTGGCAGCCTTTCTGCAGCAACAAGCCATGTAAATGGAGTCCATGGATGGAAGATTGGCTTCCGTGATGGTTTGATTTGTGCACACAACCTTCTGTAGGAAGAAGAGACGTTGTTGTACCTTCTTGACCATCGGATCTACGTGGGAAGTCTGGAACAGGTTGTCGGTTATCGTCACTCCTAGGGACTTGATACTCTTCACCTTCTCAACCTCAGCTTCTATTAGACAAGGTATATGTGGGAAGGATGTTCTTGATAAACAGTGAGTCCAGAACCAGGGGTTACAGTCTTAAGGATATCGGTAGGCTATTTGGAGCTGAGATGAAGAGAAATTTCTTCACCCAGAGTAGTGAGCCGGTGGAATTCGCAATCACAGAGAGCGGTTGAGGTCAAAATATTGAATATTTTCAAGAAGGATTTAGATATTGTTCTTCGTTTTAAAGGGATTAAAGTAGGAAAAGCAGGAACATGGTACTGAGTTGGATGATCAGCCATGATCATATTGAAGGCTGAGCAGGTTCAAAGGTCCAAATGATTTGCTGTTGCTCTGATTTTCTATGCTCCTCTCGATGCTAAAAAGGCTCATTCTCACGTCTGTGTTCCTGCTGGAAGTGAGGTTCTCAATATATATGTGATCCAGAAAAGAACCTTTTAGGTGCTTTTATGTCAGAAAAGGACTTGTGCACATGTCAGGAAGCCCTGGCACCTATTCTCAGATCCTGAGACTGGTTCCATGATAATTGCAAAATGAGAATATAGAATAATTTTTATTGAGACTAACATCAGAAGAATGTAAATGACGACGTGTGTTTTTTTTTTAATTCATTCATTGGCCAGCATTTATGTCCCATCCCTAATTTCCCAGAGAGCAGTTGAGAGTCAACTGCATTGCTGTGGATCTAGAATCACATGTAGACCAGATTAGGTAAATACTGCAGATTTCTTTCCCCAAAGGGCATTAGTGAACCAGTTTTTTTTTTTGCAACAATTGACATAGACTAGCTTTTAATTCAAGATTTCTTGTGAAATTAATGAATTCAAATTTCACTATCTGCCATAGTGAGATTTGAACTCATGTGTTCAAAACATTAGCCTGGAGTTCCTGAAGTATTAGCCCTTAGCACCACCACCTCCCCACAATGTAATATCAGGGTCACAAGATTAGGGAAAATGGACTGGAATGCAGCAGAATCTAACCTGTTGCTGAAGGAATGTGTGATGAGGTTGATCTCTGAATATAGTGTTCTTACACAAAGTCTTGGGGACTTAAGCACTTTTACTTTGGAAGTCTAAATAGTGTTGAACCCCAAACACACAATCAAACAGACAGGATAGAATCTAATCTTGTTGACTTTGTCCACAGCCAAACTGTGACAAGTTTTGCTTTGGATTGCATGTGACGTGGCTATTCAGCAGCAGCGCCAATAATGTGGATCATAGAAAATTGAAAGATAGTCTTTTGATGAGAACTGAGGTGATTCTTGTGTCTCTGCTTTGTCAATATCTTCAGAAAAGTGTTTACCATTTCAAGGTTAACAAAGAATGAACTCTTGATATACAGCACTTGGTCTTCAGCATATCATATATTGACAGAAAACTCAGTTCCTTTATTGTCACAAATACAGAGTATTAACCAAAAGAGCAGAGATACATGTTTGTTCACTGTTGTAGTCGGATGGTAAGGTACATAATAGTTATATGAGCTGCAGTCCACTTCCTTTCAATGGCACATTTGAGTAGATAAGAAGCTTAGGAAATGGAGAATGCTTGGAGGAGAGACACTCCAGGATAACAACACACAATTTTAGCAACAATGCAAAGAGCACTGGGAGCAGACTCCACACGGGATCATGTGCCAATTTCCTGCTCCTCCACCAGCTGGATGGATCAGAAATCCACATTCACCTTTGGTAGAGCTCCCTTGGTGTCAATGCCGACTCATAGAGTGATGTTTGTTTAATGGGCCCTGTGAAGCATGGCCATTGTGTCAGTGGTGGAGGGTGTGGTGGTGAGTGGAGGACTTAATTACAGTTGTGGGTGGAGTTTGTGAGATAAAGTGGTGTGCCAAAACTGGAGCGGCAGTCACAGTCCCTGTAGGCAAGAACTTATTTACCATTGGTTTGCACGCTGTTTGCCCTCATTAATTGGGAAATACTGTACACCAATTTCTATCCTACCTTCAAGCCTAAATCAGGGATGCATGGGCAGCTTGTGTCCCTCTTTCCAGACACCCTGAGAGGTGTGAACGCAGATAAGGTTGTTCGGTCTTTGGAGTTGAGAAGAGACTTGTCTCTGTCCACCTAAACAGCACAAGGGAGAGGACTAGTTGTTGCTGCATTTGCTCTCATTGCTTTTTCAGAAATGACAGTTCTGATCAGAATCATTTGCAGTGTAAATGCACTTTTCCTCACCTCCTTCTAGACACTAAGCTAATAATCTTTAATCTGTGCTACCTTGGATGCTGAAAAAAAGATTTAAGTGCTCTGTCAAACTGTCTCATAATTTTAAGCGAATCTGTTAAATCTTCCTTTAACTTTTGCTGTTTGAAGGAGAACAATCCCACCTTTTCCAATCCCAGCACAAAACTG